TACTCCACCTATTAGCACGACAAAATTTATAAATTATCAGATAATCAATTCCTGAGCTATCCCATGAACGAAACGTTCAACTGTAAAGGTTCCAGTTTGTGACTTAATCCTCAATAGATCCCAAAATTTTCACATAATAAGACAATGATTGAAGATCAAACAATCGACAACGCAGGTGAAAATGGACTTTTTTTTTTGGAAAGAATTATTTTTCCGATAAAAGAAGGATTGGAATGAAATGTTATTGGTGAAGTAGAAAGATTGGAAAACATATACCTTCTTTGAATAGCACCTTCCCAATGATTTCCGAATTACACTTTTGTAATTCAACTAGAGTTTTTGTGGCAAAGTTAATTGATTTGCAAATTTAATTAAAACTTGTCCAAAATTTGAAATGAGAGTTGAAGCAGAATATCGAGACCAGTTGAATTATTTGCCATATTCTCTTTCCTTGAAAGAGTTTACGGTATGAAAACGACAAAAACATCGAGGATTTCGATTAGTTCTTTCTCTCTTCTTAAATCAAAGAAAGATTTTATCTTCTGTTTCAATATTATAACAGCGAATAGCGAAACTAAATCGGAATTGTGGGAAGTTGTCGGATGAAGTAATTGCAGTTTTAAAAAGTTTTAAATTGAGAAATGATTCGTTTATTTAAAAATCATTAAACACTTAACCCATTATACCAACTATCTGTATATTTCACTTGTCGCCAAAAATGCCATAATTAGTATTCCCAAAAATATTACAGTGATATTTAACTGACTCTGATCTTTTGGAAGCAAGGAAAACATAAATTCAACAATGTTTCAATAAATTACTGGCAAATAGCAATGGTACAAAAGGTAAAAGTTATATGTTGAATATCGCAAATCGCTTTATACTTCACTTTAATCTTGGATTAACAATTACATAAATTTAATTACGAACAAAATGATTAACTTGTTGGAAAACTCAAGAAATTTTTTAACGTGTTAAAACAATCAAAGTATGTGTGTCACAAATTTGTATCATAAATATTGTTTTATTTACATCAATTTTTCGATAAGTGATTCACTACACAAAAATTGAAAACATGAATGTGATGAGTCATTTGTCCAATTCCCGTAACACTATGGTAAATGATTGCCACTTTGATAGCCAACTTACTTGTAATCTTTGGTCTTCATTGAGCAACCCATCTGATAAGCCGGCTTATACACAATGATGGATGCATTGTTATATATCTAATAATTTAATATCTAGTAATTTAATCGTGTTTATTTTCAATGCTACATGTCTAAACTTCTGTTGGGCATCACATTCCTATGTCTGAGAATTTCTTTATTCATCGCTTGTCTTTCTGTTAGTAGCTCATTCTCCAATCCTAATCGATCGATCGATCAATCAATCAATCCAAAGTCAATAAATTCAACTAAAATTGCTTGTCAGAAATTAAGAATTACTTTGTCATTGTAAATAAAATACAAGAAGAACACATAGGAGAGAGAACCGTTAACGTATGGTATATGAAATGTGTTGATTTTTTGAAAACTACGATTTCCCTAATAGGAATTACATGGGCTTCTTTTGCTAGCAATGACCTTTGAGAAATTTGAATCAGATAAATATTTTGTCGAGTCAAAACTAAAAAGCAACTATTGTTAATGTTTACATGGATGAATAGTACGTTGACTAACTTCATAAAGTGCTTTTGTGGTGAATAATACGATGACTCATTCTATAAAGTGCTTTTGTATCCTTAACAGAAAATTGTAAAATACATGAGCAGGTAGTTCTTAAAGTGGGTAGTCCTTAATCGAAAATAACAAACAATTCCACTGTAACTCAATGATGTAAATACCATTCAGCATGGTGACAATCCACTAATGCCCAATTTCGCATGCTCACACAGTTACGACCCTTTTGGGACAAATGTCCAAATAATGGAAGACCAACGTGAAATGCTATTTCTTGTTATAATCTAATCGATTATGAGCTAATTCTAACCTCCTATGATTCCAGTATTATTCGCGTTTTGTTATTTCAGCACTTTGAGTACCTTACTGATATTTCAGAATGTTGAGTCAAGGAATCACCGCAGCATTACTTTTCCTTGCAAGTTCTCAATTTGTAGTGATATTTGGCGAAATGTATGTAAGAAAATTACAATTTCTATACGAAAAATATTTCGGAATAATCAAATAATCAAAGCTCATTATGTTTTTCTTAACCTCTTACCATCAACACCAACTCTTTCCCTTGTAACATTATTAGCATGAACAGGTTTATGCCTCTTCATCAATAGGCTTTTGCAGTTCGTCGACCACCTATGCACAGTTGGACTTTACAGTCAGCTTGCTCAAAGAAATAGCACAAGGCGATAAATCTGCCATCCTATCTCCTCTTTCCGTTTCAACTGCACTTTTTATGATTTACCTGGCAACGGATGGAGTAACGAAGAAACAAATAGCGAAAGTTCTTGGAGGAAGTAATTATAAACTAAAAATCTTGGAATTTAATTGAAAACTTGTTTTACACAAATTGTCAACAATATTTTCTCTTTCATCAGTAATGCCACTATTGGTGAATCCCGCGTTGTTATTTTTGTTAACAATAACATAATCTATTTTTTTCAGGTGCAGAGAAAGAAGAACTTCAACAATATTTTGCCAAACTGTTGGCAGGTATTGATAAGGGAAACAATAAAAACTACACGTTAAAAATAGCAAATCGTTTTTACATACAACAAGGATTTTCAACAAAGGAAAGCTTTGCCAGAACACTTAAATTTTATTACGGTGAAACATTGCATAAGTTCAATTATGAACGAAGTGACCAACTTATTCAGGTATTATCAGTGATGAAATGAAATGTGAAAATTAGATGAGGAGGGAAATACACAACGAAGGAAAAATAGTATATACATTGTTGTTTCTTAGATTTATCAGTTCAATCACGGTAGGTGCTTCTGATCACAAATCATAAAAGTGCAATTTTCTTTCAGCAAATTAATAGTTGGGTGTCAGAAAAGACCAACAGTAAAATAACGGAATTGGTGACAATGGGCGATATCAATGATGACACTGAAATGTTGTTACTGAATGCAATTTACTTCAACGGTATATGGAAGACACAGTTTGATGACACGGAGACTTATAATGATAAATTTTACATTTCAAATGGCAAAACGAAAAATGTGAATATTTTCCCGAATGTCATAATTTGAAGCTTTCAGCTGTTCATTTTAAAATGCATTGTTTGCTTGCAAAACTTATACAGCTTGAATGAATACGTCTGTTCATTCTCTGTCGTTATCATTTCTGTTCTCTCAGGTATTGATGATGAGATTAGAAGCAAAATTCCCGTACTATGAAGATGATTCTGTGCAAGTTGTCAAATTGCCTTATGTTGGTAACGAAGTAGAAATGGTCCTCATTTTACCAAGAATTCGTTTTGGTATATCCAATGTTCTAAAAAACTTGACGGGCGAATATCTACTCTCATATATTAGTGAAGCTACGCCAAAATTGGTGTCGGTAAAAACTTGTCCAATCCAAATTTGTTTTTTTTTCTTTTTTACGGATGTGTTAACAAACCATTCGGTTCAAGGATTTTAGAATTTCAAAGTTGTCGATTCCATTTTAATCGAATTTCAGCTGAAATTACCGAAGTTCCGTTTGGAAGCAAAATTGGATTTGAAAGAAATTTTACGGAAAATTGGCATTGGGGATGCTCTCAGTGAAAGAGCCAATTTCAGAGAGCTTACGGATGACGCAGTTACCATTGGCGGTATTTTGCACGGAGGCTTCATTGAGGTTTGTGATAGTTTTTGTCGCGAAAGCTTGCCATGAAAGGATGAAAAACGAAAACTGAATCGAAAACATTATTGGAAGACGAAAGCTTCTTTTCCTTAAAGAAATATTGCTATATAGTTGGGATCTTTTGAGTTGTGATTCCAAGTAACGAATTTAATATAGAACGCCAAACAAAATATTTTTATTAGCTAACGAAATATTTATAACTAATTTAAATCAAATAGCGGAGATTTACAACACAAGATCCAGACGGTAGATCAATAGACAGAACTCTATACTGCCATAATGGCCTTTTTATCCTTAAGCAGATAATGTAGATGAAGGAGGGAAGATACAACTCGATGTCAGTCACGGCTACATTGTGGAATACTGCTTTGGATTTTCCGACAGTTAGATGAAATAAGAATTTTGGCGGAAAATTACCAAAATCAGATATAGCGAGATTTTTTTAATGAGCTTCAGCTTTTTGAAATAGTAAAATACCATGGATTCGGTTATTTACTTACAGGTGAATGAAAAAGGAACAGAATCAGCGGCTGCGACCGTGATTAATATAGTGCCCCTCATGTTAATGGAATCTAAGGCATTCATCGCTGATCAGCCATTCCTCTTTGCAATTGTTAGGAATTCCGATACAGTTTTGTTTGCAGGCCAATTTGCCAAGTGATTCTTCGCATAATCTTCAATGCTCTATTTTACATAAGATAAATTTTTGGGACAAATAAATGCTATTTTCAGCTTAATTCACAGAACGTTTCTCACATTCGACATAATTTTGAATTCTTTCGTAGTTACGTCCGTCCTTCTTCCTTTAATATGATATATTTAAACTGTCCAGAGGTTCTATTTTCAATATTCAAATAATACTGAGAAAACCGAACTGGTTGTATCATAGAATTATCATTCAGATAGTTTGCATTTACATTTGTTTTTTTCTCCTGCTTAAAGTCATGAGTCAGCTATCTGACCTTCATATCGTCAAAAAGTGCTTTATCTGATGTTGAGTATTTGCGCACATCTGGCAACTAATTTGTAAAGGCTTTATCCCATATACAAATTTGGATACAGCCGTGAGAGTGCTGCACATTTGATAAAATAATTTCTATGAAATTTTTTTATATAAAGAAAACTGTTCTTATATGTAAATTTCTTTTGCAGCTATGAGAATACTGTCAATTTGTGATGATTGTTCCTCTTCACACATTCTTTATATAAACCATAAGAAATTCTAACATCGATTCATTGTTAATTTCTTTCAGTTGACACTCAGCTTCACTCAGTACAATTTTCATTTCTTCTCTCAAGTCATTAATCACTACATCCAAATTTCTCCCGATGTTCAACTGGTATTAATCTGAACGTCATTCTACTGTAATTAGAATTACTTTGAACCTATTTTTATTGTATTTGGTATCCGGACGACAATAAAGGATAAACCGCTGTACTTTTCGAACAGACAACGAACCCGGTACTCTACAAGTCACTCTTTTAAAACTTGACTGTTTCTACAGCTAACAAAAATAATATCCCTCATCTTCTTACTCTTTTTTCACGACAAATAATGTCTTCAAATCCCATCGAAACCGAAAGCAATTACATATATAAATATATGGCTAAAGTTTCCATGAACAGTTACTGGACCTATTAACACCACAGAATTTATAGATTATAGAACCTATATTACAGAAATATATTTCTATTATGCATCGCATTTCTTTGTTTTAAAATTCCTTTGTCTGGCCGAAATCTAAACAAAGGATTTGATGATCGAAGCTGCTTGTTCTCAAATAAATTAACTAGGATACATAGATTTCTCTTGTAGCTGTGAGAATAATGTCAATTTGTAATGATTGCTTCTCTTCACACATTCCTTATATAGACCTTAAGAAATTCGTTCATTGTCGGCATTGAACTTCACACAGCACACTCTTCGTTTATTTTCTCCCAGTTCACTAATTACTCCTTTCAAATTTCTCCTATTTTCTACTAGTATAAATCTGGGCGTCATTCATTGTAATTGGAATTAGTTTGAAGTCATATCTATTGTATTTGGTATCCGGACGATAATAAAAGAATGACTTTCAGAGTACCGGTATTGTTGTACGTTTCGAACACACAACAATACCGGTACTCTGT